CACAGCTGAACCTCAGCATCTCACATGGAGGTGCTTTTGTTTTAACTTTCACCTCTTCCTAGATTCCCCATTGCCCCAAATCCCTGGGAAAGATGTGATCCTGAGCTTTTTGGAGTCCTTGAAGCCAGCAGAGAAGGGAAGGGAAGCTGTGGCAGCCCTGCCACCATTTGCTGCATCTGCCTCTCCTTACATCACTTTCAAGGACGAAACCTCCTGGTGACAGGAATTGTGGCCACGACCCTGCCACTTCCCTGCACTCAAATTTGACACAGCACAAATCCAGTGTAGGGAGCTTTACATGATTTCAGGGTACCAGGCAGGCAGGGTCCCATGGATGGACCAGACCGAGGCAGGTCATTTCATCCTAGCTAAAATATGGACAGTCAAATGGAGAGTAAGAATAGTCACAGAACTGAAGTTTGGGGGAATTTTTGCTTTCTTTTACACAGATTTTTTTAAGTGCCCCATCAGCTGAAGCAGCATTTAATAAGAAATAAATTGTGGCCACCCCATCTTGGAAATGTTCAAGAAAGGGTTGGGAGCAGCCTGGTCTAGTGGAAGTGGCTGGAACAACATGATCATGAAGGTCTTTTCCAAGCCAAACGATTCCATGATTCTCTGACCCCTTTAGAATCTCACTGTATCTTAAAACCATAAGGAGAGGGTTTTTAGTGGGCACAGAAATAAGGTTTAGTTTGGGGATGTATTTCCCCCCAGGTGCTGCAGCTCCACTTTTCCCAGGTTTTGAATTTCCATCTTCAGAAATGCATTTCCTCAGTGATGGGTGAGGTAGTGACCAGGCTGACCAAAAAACCAAGTAAAAGGTTGCTTGTTAAACAAAGCTGGTGTCTGTCAGTGGGGAAGGCTCCCAAATTCTGGGCTTATCCCCCCAAACTGGTGGCATTTGCTTGGATCAGGGTGGTTGGTTCTCGTTTGGTTGCAATTCCTGGTTGGCTGGCAGCCTGCAGGTGGAGAGGAGCCAAGTTTTCTCTGGAGATGACAGTTTGCTAACAGATGTCTGATGTTTCCCAACACAGTTAGGATGGGAATCAGGAGCTACTTCAGCAGAGCTGAGCAGTTGGGTAATTGCAAACCTTTGCTCCTCACATTTTCTCGTTTATCAGCTGCCTGGGTAACACAGTTATTTCATTAGTTTTGCTGTTGTTCATAGTTTTAGGAGGCAAAGCTTGAAATATCTCACGGAGTAATCATCATCCTAGGAGGCAGTGGCTCATTTAAATGCTGGGAAACCTCCAGGAGCGTGAGGAGCCACAGGATTTCCTCTCCCCTTGGGCACAGCATTGCCCAGATATTTGGGCTGTGGCTCCTGCACTGCCATTTCAAAGGAATGGGATATTGGAAAATGGAATTTCCTCCTGAGCCCCCGGATTGCTCTGATGTCTTGTATGTGGTGCCTGTCCCTGCCCACGAGGAGGCTGAGGTGAGGCAGCTCCTCAGGAGCAGGTATTTTATTTGGAGGCAGGAAAAAGAGATGTTTCCAAGCCCCAGCTCTTCCAGAGGACCTTTCAGGAGGTTTTTGCCACTCAGATTTGCAGGAAATCTTGGAGAAGAGCTTGGAGGTTCTGCAGGATGCTCCTGCCTAACTCAGAGCTGAACATCTCCTGTGCTCCTCTCTCAGGTCTTGGGCTAGTGTCAGTAGGTGACAAAAACTTGCTTCAATAAGCAAAAAGTTCCATTAGGAGCACACTGGGAGTTGATTCCTGGTGTCCCACCAGCTCCTGTGAAAAGCTCAGCCTTCATTTTAAAAGCTCTTTATTAAAGAACAGACTGTTCATTACTTTTGCATCACACATTCCCTGGATCTTTTCTTTTTGTGCACTTCCAGCTGGGATTTTCCAGGCATTTTGACCTGGGATGAGCAGCACAATTACCAAAATATCCAGGGAAAGGTTCTTTCTTAATTACAGCTAATTCCACTGGAGACAAACAAGCCCAGAAATCCCAGTGCAGGAAGTTCAGGCCTCGTGTCTGCACAGCTCCAGTGTGTGCCTGTGATGCCACTTGTGCCTCCAAGGTGTCTTCCCAGCGCTCCTCCCATCAATTAATTCAGGAATTTGAACTCTTCCCGAGTCAGAAAAGCATTTGATTCTTTAGAAAGTCTGCAAGCGCTGGGGTAAGGCTGGGATTTCCAATAAAACTGATTAAAGAGGAATGGCATGAGGTTGTGGCATCTCCAAAGTGCAGAAAAGCACCCTGCCCTAGCACAGGTGGATTTGTCCCACAAAGGGGTGAGTTATTCCCACCTCATCCTGCACAAATGGGGTCAAACTGTCCCTGCTCTCCTCCCTGGGGCTGGGGCAGAGCTGTGTGCACACAATGCTGTGCCCTGGGCTCTGGGATGGCCCTGCTGGAGCAGGGAGGTGCCACCAGATGTGGTCCCTTCCAGCCTGAGCCGTCCTGTGAATATCCCAAACATTCCTGACTGTTGCAGATTCTTTCTGCTGATGCAGAACTGGACATTTTCCTACAGAAAAATATTATATCAACTTCTGTATTATTTAGCACTGCCCTCTTGGTGCCTTGAAAGGGTTTCTCTTGACTTTGGGAGGTAAAATCAAATACCACAGATAGTTTTTGTCATCATTCTATTGAGTGAAGAGCTTACACTGCAGAACTTTGGGAGTTTCTGTTCAACTTCAGGAATTTGAAAGGAATTCTGAACTTCATGATGAGGATCATACCCCTGGGTTCTGATATAGCTTGGGAATATTTGTGTTTTCATCTTTTTATTGATGATATTTATCCTCCAGCTAAACGGGTTTGGAATGCATAACAACTTAATTTATAGGAATTTGGTGTTTAAGTGGACATGGGCTTTTGTAGCTGGGAATAAAACAGAATTCCAGTGGGACTGTTGTTAGTGGGCATGGGAAGGGCATGTTTGCTTGATTTTACCTGGGTTTTGGGTTCACTGCATATTTTTGGCCTTTCTTTTGGGGTTTGGAGGTTTGTTGCACTGTATTTAGAAAAAAATGCATCCAGTTTGTCTCATCTGCTATGCTGCACCTGTGTGCTCACACTACATCCAAGGAGTGTGGCTGAGGGAATTAGCCAAGGGATTTCCCAAAGCAATCCCAAGAATGCAGCAAGTATTATTCTAAGCAAAATAATGCCCTTTTTTTTGTTTTTTTTTGGGGTTTTTTGTTTGTTTTTTTGTTTTTTGGGGTTTTTTTTGTTTGTTGTTTTTTTTTTGGTTTTTTTTTTTTTTTTGGCATGTTCCAGTGCAAATCTGGAAGATCTCAGCTTCCTTACCCAGGAAGGTGTCCCTACCCATGGCAGGGAGGTTGAAATCAGATGGTCTTGAAGGTCCCTTCCAACCCAAACCATTGTGTGAAATTTTAGTCTGTTTGTGTGTCGGCAAGAAATTTTCCAATCTGGGATTTTGTTTTCCTGGCAATTAGAAATCATTAAAGGTATTTAACTGCTCTGTCCATTCATCATGGAAATGAGAGGTGCTCACTGCTCTGTCAGCCCTGAAATGGTGGCTCTGCTGTGATTTAAAAGGGGACATTTCAATCCTTTTTTAGTGGCAGCTGAGCGTTCACCTCGTGATGAGCACGGAGGGATCAATGAGCAGCTGTGGCACACAAGGTTATCCCAAGTTCACAGCAGGCTCCGTGCTGATTGGCTTCCAAAGTCAGATGCATCAGGAGCAAGGTCACCGACAGGATCTGGTGACAGCATGAAAAATAAAGCAGAGCTGAAGTCATTTGTTGACAGCAGCCCCTGGAAGAGAATTGTGCTTTATCACCTCAGATTTGGGGCTTCGTGGTGTGACCTTTCACATTGTTGGACTCCTGTTTGTAGCCTTCCCTTTTCACTTGGAAAATGATAGAGTTTTGCTCTCTCTCCCCCATTGGCATTGAGGTTTTAGACAGAGCAGAGGAGGTGGTTTGAAGGGAATCTGTTAATGAAATAATTAGGGTGGGAACGTCCCAAAGCTGGCCAGGTGGCCACGGGAGTGGGATGGTGGCTCATCTTCCCACTGCTGTTACCCTGCACGAGTGATTATGCCCTACTGTTAATTGCAAGCTGTTCCAGCTAAAATCCTGCACCTTCCAGGCCTCCCTCCATAATCCAGCCAACTCTTTTCCCATAAAGTCACCCGCAGCCAAAGGTCGCACACGCCCAGGGACTCTCCGGCAGACAAATGTCACATTTTATGGAGGGGGCGGATCCTGCTCATCCATTTCCCCTCCAAGCCTTTCTAAAAATACCCTAAACCTTAACAAGGAGCTATTTTGGAGGAATTATAGTCATGGATAGGCATGGGAAGCTGATTCTGGCAGGCTTGCCCAGGTTTGAGTTGCGTATTCCTTACTCAGGCACGTGGTGTTGTGGGGTGGTTGGCCATGGGATAAACGGAGAGCATCGGGATTTTGGGACCTCCTGGCTTGGGATGGCTGCTCTGACTGGGTTTATAGGAGAAGAACAAGTGAAGACATCCTTATAGGAATGTTGATCTGTGCCTGAAGTCATTCATTTCAGGCATTTGCAGCTTATCAGATCTGATTTCATAAAACCTGGCTGGGATTTCTCTCCAGGGACCTTTAGTGATCCTGCCACTTCCAATAAACATTTATAGAAAGTGCTGCCAGCCTGTGGATATGAGAATCTCCTAGGAGAGACTTCTATCTTCCAAAAAATCCTTAAAGACACCAAAATATTTACAAGCAAACCTCACCCAGGAGAAGATGGATAGAAAGTGCCCAGCCTTGGGAGCTGGATTGCAGTGCCAGGCGTTGGCTTTGCACCCTCAGTAGGGATGTTTGCTATTGCCCCTTGGAAAACCGTTCCCTCCGGAGCCGTGCTGGGATTGGGAGCTGCAGAATGCTGAGCTAAAAGTGAATTTTGAGAGCTGAGATGGAAGTGCAGCAGGTAAAGGCTGGCCCAGGCTCCCACAGCTCGCGGGCGGCGGCGCGCTCTGCTCAGGTTTGCACCTCTAAGAAATTTCCGTTTTTTCGCCTCAAAACCTCCAGATACGAAGCCGAAGCTGCCTTCTTTGCCAACCTGAAACTGTCGGATTTCAACATCATCGACACCCTGGGAGTCGGAGGCTTCGGGAGAGTGGAGCTGGTAGGTGACCTCTTCTTCTTTGTGTGACATCCTCATACAACTGCTGTGTTAAAAGCTTAATTTTTTTGTTATTACACCCCAGTAACCCCGAGAAAAATGATCTTTTGGGATTATCTGGTGAAGAAAGCTGACTTACATTTCCTGAGGCATAAAAAATGTACCAATAAATGCTTTGCAGTAGCCAAGAAGGATTTATGTCTTAGGCTGAGAGAGGAGCACACATCTCATCTCTCTCTTAAGTGGTTTATGGCATTGATTTATGGCCTTTTAAAAACAACCTGGAGAACTGGGTGAGTGCTGGGATTGGAAGAGCAACCTAAAATCTTATTTAACCAGGTTCAGAGTAACAGCAGAAAGCCTCTCCTACACATTTTTTATTCAGGTCTAGAGTGGTTGCACTTGGTTATCCTCAAAGCTGAACATTCAGCACCTGACTCGTGACAATACATCCCAGACAAGGCCTGGTTTTGTGCAGAACTGCAGAGAAAAGACAAAAACCGAGCCTGCTTTTTGCTCTGCTTGGAGCTTTGGAGCTCTGTGGTCTCCTTTAAAGCAGAGCCAGAGCAAGAAGCGAGCTGTTTGTAACACCAAGGCAACGCAAAACCTTGGAGTAGGAAGAGGGAGTTGGGTTACGCCATGGATTTGCTCCGGACACCGGACACTCGTGCAGCATGTCAGGAACTCCTGCAAGCCCAGGCAGAAGGGGAACAGAGTTACTGTTGTCACCACAAAACCTCAGGGAAGCCTCCATTCCATAACCCTGTGGGAGCTGAAGAATAGTAAAACAGGCAAAATGAGGTGTTTTCGGTGGTTTTTTGTGATGTAAAGAGGAAATTTGGTGTGCAAAGCCCAGCTTGCTCTTCCCTGTGGTTTATTCCTGACTTTTCCTGGCTGGATGTGAAATCCTGTGGAGGAGAGAGCGTCTGTGGGAGCACTGGTCCCTTCCTGGGGTTAAGGGTTTAATGTATGATTATTTTGTTTATGAATATTTAATTTATGAGTATTTTGAAGGAGTCACCTGCTGAGGATGCTTTAGAGCAGGAGGTCGTGTTCATCTTCTCATTTGAAGCCCCTTCCTCTTCTCCTGACACCAAGGATTTGCCTCCTAAATTTACATCCACACTGTAGTGAGGGACCCACCAGTCTGCGGCTTGGTTTGAGCCTTGTGAAGGTTTTGGGTTCATTTTTAAGGGGTTTTGCCAACCTCAGGGTGTTCCTGGGGAGGTGCATGGTTTGTCTCCATGAGGGGTTGCTGGTGGGACTCTCACCAGTGGCCATGGCCAGGTGACATGGCCAGCTTTAAGGTGACAAAAACTGCACCCTGGTGATGTGTGACCCTGGCCCAGGAGAGAAGAAGAGCAGAAGGTGCTCTGTCCCTTCAAGGTGTCAGCTTGAGTAGAAATATTCTATTCTGAGCGGATGTTCACGCCTCAGAAGCCTCCAAGAAGCCACCTTAGGTGGGAAAAACATTCCCAGAGGTTTTCTTCCAGGGTGGGTGCCCATCTCCTGAGCAGGAAAATTCTGGATAAGCTCATTTTTTGTAGCTCTGAACTGCACACAGATAAAACATATTTAAAAGTATAGCTCAATACACCAGATTTTGTTGTTTTTTCTTTACCACAGAAGGAAATTTTGCTACAAAGCCAAGAAAATATTCCTTTTGGGAAAACTGAGCCTGGAATTGCTGCCTCATGCTTCCACCTCCTCCATTAAAAATATGATTTATTACTTCAGGCTAAAAATAAAAAATATATCGGAGAAATTGGCGCTTTTATTGCCTGAATATGGAAGTGGAGGAATATTCCTGAAAAACATTCCCAGTTTTTGTGCTTTCCATGAGTAAAATGGATCCAAAAAAGTGAAGGATGTGGCAAGGAAACGGGATTTTAGAGCTTTGGGCATGAGGCCTCAGAATGTCACCACTGGAGAGGGCAACTGGTGGTGGCTTGGGGCAACTGGAATGTCTGGGGCTGGGATTGGCCAAGAAGGAGTAACAGTCCCATTGGATGTCGTTTTCCAAAACCTCTGGGAATGCTGGAGCCTTGGAGAAGTCACCCTTTCCATGCATCCATGCACAAAGATATGGCTTTTAGGTTAGACACCCTCAAATAGAATTTATTTTCGATGCCTTGGATATTACACATGGTTTTGTCTTGCTTTTTCCAGGCAGCTTTTTTTCTGTATCTCAGGAAAAAAATTCAAAACTTTGAAATGAGTGGTTTTCACTCAGTTTGTTGGTGGCTCCCTGGTGCCTCTTCCAATATCCTTATGGATGCTCCTCTTCATCCCAAACTGGGCTATGCAATCAACTTTTATCTAGGTTTTCCTTGAGGGATAAACCAAAACCACCCAGGGTTGGAGAAACCACAGCAGATAGCAGGAGCAGGCTTTTTGGGATGCATCCACTCCTTTTTACAGCTCAGCCTCCCTGTTTTATGGCAGCTGAGCATCTTCTGGGTTAGGATCCAGGATTAACATCAGGAAGATTGGAATTTCAATGCCACTGGGATAGGGAATGTCACCTCATGTGACAGGGATGGAGGGCAGGTGTCCCCAGCCCTCAGAAATCATCTCTGCTGACCTTTATTGCTCTTAATTTCCTTTTCACTCAAGTCCTGTGCTCCTGAGTGTCTGTTCCAGGTCAGTTCTTCTGAGTTTAAATAATTTTTGACAGCTCTGAAATAAATACATTGGAGTAGCTGAATATCCAGGATTGGAGTAATTTTTCCATGGAATTGGTTCCTATAGGTGATGGCTGAGCACAGGGAGACTAAAAATCACATCCTTGCCTTCTGCACACCTTCTGGCTTCGTGGTGGCCCAAAAAGCAAAATTCCTTTGCAATATGTGTATTTCTAAAGACACAAATGAAAACTTGCACATAAAAGGTCACAGCCATGTTTTATGGGCTCTGTACAAAGTGGACACAGTGGAATTTTTCAGCTTTATTTGTGTATTAAGAGAAATCTGACCCCAGCTTCTGAAGTACAAATAAATCTCTTCCAGCCTCCAGCCTGTGTTGTAAACAAAGAAATTAGTCAATTAATTAGATAATGAGGAAAAACCTGCTGCAATGGTCTTCTGATAGGCTGACAGATGCAGAATCCAGATATTTATTGGTGGAGATTTCCAACTGTGTCTGATTTCCAATTCCCAAGACGGCTGCTTTTCCTAGGTAATGCAAAATTTTTTATTAGAAAGATCATTTTTCTCTTGGAAATCTCCTGATTTTTGGGGTTTGATTGACTAGAATTGCCCAGGACCCCTGGGCAAGATCCCAGGATCCCTGAGGCAAGAAAATCCCTGCCAGCCCATGGAGTCCCAGCTGTGCCCAGTTGCCCAGAGCACTGAGTGCCACCTCCAGCCCTTCCTGGGACACCTCCAGGGATGGGCACTCCAAAGCTCCCTGGGCAGCCCCTGCCAAGGCCTGAGCACCCTTTCCATGGAGAAATTCCTGCTGCTGTCCAAGCTGAGCCTCCCCTGGCACAGCTTGAGGCCGTTTCCCCTTGTCCTGTCCCTGTTCCCTGGCAGCAGAGCCTGCCCACCCCTCTGGCTGATTGTGGGGAATTCTTTTCCCTCCTGGGAGGAGAGGAATCCTCAGTTCAGTAGGAAAAGCAGGCTGTCCCCTCTTGCTGGGCCAGGAGCGGTCACTCTGTGTGTGCAGCAGTGCAGCTGTCAGGATTAGGAAAGCTCAGCTTGCAAATGCTGCTCTCAGCAACAGCTGCTGCTATTTTTGTTCATTCCACCAGATCGAGCTGGGAAACGGGGAAAATGCAGGACCTTGGAATGCCCAGCAAGCAGCAGCACTTGGAATTCAGCTCTCAAAGAGCTGCTGTTGAGTCAGTTCTTGTTTAACGTGATGGGGAAATAGCCACGTTTCAGCAGAGCATGGATTTCTGGCTCCTTTCTGTTGGAAGAATTCAACAGGAAGCAAAATTCCCTTGGAAAAATATCTTTGTTGTTGTGAAAATTCAGAGGGACAAAGAGGGAATGTCAAAGTCCATCCCATTCCACCCCATGCCATGGGTGAGGACACCTTCCACCATCCCAGGCTGCTCCAAGCCCTGTCCAGCCTGGCCTTGGGCACTGCCAGGGATCCAGGGGCAGCCACAGCTGCTCTGGGCACCCTGTGCCAGGGCCTGCCCACCCTCCCAGGGAACAATTCCTAATTCCCAATATCCCATCCAGCCCTGCCCCCTGGCACATTGAAGCCATTCCCTGTGTCCTGGCACTCCATCCATTGGAAATATCCTGGAATGTTCAGTCACAGAAATAAATCCTTCTCTGGGGCTTGTTGTGCATCCTGGTAAATATTTCTGAAAGTTTCCACTTTCCCAAGCTCAGCTGGGATTGCATCAGCACAGGAATTGCTGGAGTTGCAGACTGTGTATCACACACACAGGGATGATTTATAGGGAAGGAGGGAGGATGAGAAACACACACCTCTTTCTTCCTCTTTTCCATTGAGCTCTGGTTTCATCTCCCTCAATACCCATTTTCCCAGCCAGCCTGAGAAAGCACCAAGGTGTAAAACCATATTTATTTCTGTGTAAGAGTTAAAAACCAGACAAAAATCAGGCCTGGAGTGTTCTGTGTGTCCTGGGAACTGCAGAAGTTCTATAAAGCAAAGGAAGGATTTGGAGTGGTTCCAACAGGAGGAGCCAGCTGTGATCCTATGAAACAAGGGCATGGAAAAACCAGAGAGGCTGCAGCTCTCCTTTTTCCCTGTCCATAGGATTCCAGAGTGGTTTGGGTTGGAAGGACCTTAAAACCCATCCCATTCCACCCCTGCCATGAACAGGAACACCTTCCACTGCATTTATACTTGTATATATTCCATATTTATATTAGCTGTGCACCTATAGATGCGACATATATTTTATGTATGTTTTATATCTCCAAGTAAAATCAAAACATTTTTTATTCAATAATTTTTCTTCCACCTTCTGAACTCAGAGGCAAAGTCCTTGTGGTTCCTGTGGCTCCCTGGGCTGGTTTTCCCATTAGGATTGAAAGACAGAGTGTCCTTAGCAATCCCTTCTCATCTTCTCAGAATTAATCCTGTTTGTTGTTTTAAAAAAAAAAAAAAAAAAAAAAAAAATCCAGGTGATTCCTATACTTTTTTTTTTTTCATATTTTGGAATGATATTGGGATTGGACATGGAGGTATTTTGGTATTAATTAACATAACATGAATACTAAAATCTATTATTGGTAAGATTAATAGAAGTGACTTGGGGTTTCCCACCTTTACATCATAAAATAGTTCCCAAAGTCACCTCATTTGGCAGAGAGCAGAGCAAGGAGGAAGCTCAGGCAGGCTGGAAAATTAGGAAAAGCCTCATTTTCCAGGTGATCCAAAAAATAGCCCTTGGATCCACCAATCCTCTGCCTTGCAAAGGACTGGGAATGGAAAATGGATCTGAATTCTCTGGTGGCATCAGGTCTAAGCATTGCATGAGCTAATTGCAGCTGCCTGTTCTATATTTAATATAATAATAATAATAATTTATTCATTATTTTAATATATTAATATGTTTAACATAATAATAATTGCTGCTTCTTTTTCCATATTTAATATTTGCAGCAGTGAGGACACCCTCAAACACCAAATAAACTCCCTGCCTTCTTCCTCCTGTAAATTTCCTTCCTTGGACTTAGTTGAAAGTATATAGAAAAGCAAGTGACTTCCCCAGGCTCTCCATCCATGACAGAATAGTAATTAAATTTTTTAAAATAGCCTTTTTCATGAGAGACACAAAATTTAGGTGTTCAAAAGCTGTGGTAATAAATAAAGGGATTTATTCCCAGCACGCTTTGTTTTGTGATATTGGAATTTATTCTCTGGAGTCTCCACCAGGTTGTTTGGTTTATTTTCACACTGATGCCTGGTACAGATTAACATTAGGGAAACGGGAATTTCAAGTGAATTTAGAGTGCTAAGTACTAATTTTTTTATTGTTTGATGTCTAAATCTACCAAGAAATGCTCAATTTTGCTGCTTGGAGCTGCTTTCTTGATTATTTTTATGAACAACCTAACATTAAAAATACAGACTGAAAGAGAACAGATCTGATCTGGAGAATCTGATGGGAATTTGCAAAGGCTTTGGTGTGAAATAATTTGGGGGGCAGTGGTGGTGCTTGTCCATCATCACATGGACTGGTCTGGTGGGAAGCTAAGAAATCTGGATTCCCAGCAAAAGAAAGAGGGATAAGTTCTCCACAAGTTTATCCTCAGTCCTCCCAAATTTTGATTATTTCTTGGTTTTAAGTTTTGGGAAATTCTGCTCAGGTTTCACCTTGATTTTCATTAGGTCTTTGATCCCTGTGTGCCACCTCCCTGCTCTCCTGGCTTGATTCAGATGGGATAATATCCAATATTTCATCCAAACAGTTAAACTGAAGCCATTTATTCAAAATGAGACTTTAATTAAAAAAAAAAAAATAGAAACCAAACCAAAGTGGTTTTATCACTTTTAGTTGGCCAAAAATGCAGAATTTCTTTGTGCTTTGAGCTGTAGTAAAACCAGGATATGGCATAATGGGGCAGCAGTGATGGGGAAAAATGTCCCACTTTACTTTTTGGACTTTGTTTAGGTCTTTGATATGTTTCTCTGAAAATAAAATAGCAAACAAAACAAAGATAATAATCAGGAGGGTGAAACTCAGTGTGAAAAACCAGACAGGAACTTTGGAAAAACGAAAGTTTTATGTGGGCTTGGAAATTTTTGGGGCTGTGGGGAATAAGAAACCACAAATCTGGCTTATATATATAAGAGTTTAATGATGAAAACTCTGGCCAGAGATGGGGGGCCTCCCATTTGTTAGACTTTAAATTATTTGTGGTGGTGATTGGAAACCTCTCTGTCAGCTGAGGACCAACCTGTTGGGATTGATTTCCTTAAGGTCTGTGTGTCCTTTTGGACTTGAGGCTCCTAATTTGATTTATGGTGGTGCTGGGGATCCCCTCCCTCCTGGTGTTTCCCTGGGGATCCCCTCCCTCCTGGTGTTTCCCTGGGGATCCCATCCCTCCTGGTGTTTATATGGGGATCCCATCCCATCCCTCCTGGTGTTTCCCTGGTCCCTGAACTATGGCAGAACAAAGCAGGTGGACAAGAAACTGTTCAAGTTCAGGGTGTGTGGTCTGGGAAAAGCCCAGGGGAAAGTTTGGATAACACTCCCAGGAGCATGGTGGGATTATTGAGGTGTCTGAGGGCCAGGAGTTGGACTTGAGGGGTTCTTCCAACTCAGCACATTCCATGGTTCTACAAAAGTGCCATATCTCATATCCACCCACGTTCCTGCAGCAAAACTATACAAAAAGAGATCTGACATTAAATCCATTCTGGTTTTGTGAGTGTTGCCTCCTAACCCTAAAGGCAGGCTGGGTTCCCTCTGGCAGAAGCCAAATTCCTACAAGGACACCAAAACAGAAGCTGCCAGATGGCACCTCGTGCTCAACAGCGGGGCAAGCACCTCTCTGGAATATTGTTAGGAGCAGCTGCCGGGGGAATTCAGCAGACTTGGAGGCCTGGGAGGTCGGCAACGGGGTTTCTTTGAGAGGGTTGGCCAGGATGGGAAGGGTGGCTGCCTTCCAGCTGGCTTTGGGATAGGGAGCTGTCCCTCGGGGTGGCTCAGGGTTCAGAAGTTGCCAGGGTTACCCCAAGAGCAAGCAAACAACTCCTGTCAGCCTCAGCTTGGAGAGCCAGGCTAAAAATAGGGGGCAGAGGCTTAAGGTGAGAGGCAAAGCTGTGAGCAGGGAAGCCAGCCCTGCAATTCCCAGCCAGAGCCAGCACAGGTGGGGTGACCTGGAGGAAAGGGGTTTGGGGAAGCTGGATGTTAGCTGCAACATCTCCTGACCCCAGAACAACACCCACATTTGGCTTTTCCCTAAAAATCGTGGCGTTCCAAAACAGCTTTTTGAGCAGTCAGAAAGCTGGATCATGACTGGAGAGGTGGGAGGAACGCCTGGAAGGCAGCAGGGGGATTGCTGGCAGGGAGGTGGGACTCCAGCAGGACTATGGTCTGTGTGTGACCTCGGCCTGTCCTGCCTTGCCCAGGTGCAGCTGAAGAGCGAGGAGGCCAAGACGTTCGCCATGAAGATCCTGAAGAAGCGGCACATCGTGGACACGCGGCAGCAGGAGCACATCCGCTCCGAGAAGCAGATCATGCAGGGCGCCCACTCCGACTTCATCGTCAGGTACCACCCTCTGCCTCAGTGTGCCAGGGATCCCCCAGGGACCAGCCAGCAGGGAAAAGCTTCAGCCCCACACCTCTGAGGGAAGGGAGGTGTGGGGCAGGAGGAAGCTGCTGGGCAGAGCTCGCTGGTGCTGCCAGAATGTGGTTTGGGTTGGAAGGGACCTTGAAGCCCACCCAGTACCACCCCTGCCATGTCAGGGACACCTTCCACCATCCCAGGCTGCTCCAAGCCCCATCCAACCTGGCCTTGGACACTGCCAGGGATCCAGGGGCAGCCACAGCTGCTCTGGGCACCCTGTGCCAGGGCCTCACCGCCCTGCCAGGGAACAATTCCTTCCCAATATCCCATCCATCCCTGCCCTGTGGCACTGGGAAGTCATTCCCTGTGTCCCCTGACCCAAGTTCCTCTCCAGCTCTCTTGGAGCTCCTTTAGGCACTGGACTCACCATCAATAATATATATATATATTTATCATGACTTGGCTTTAGCCATGCTCCAAGTTAATTTTCCTTTTCCTTCCCAATTGCTGAGTTTTCCTTCCCAGCTAAGGGAAGCTGGAAGAAAGCAGGGCTTCATCCTTTAAAATGGCGCAGTGCCATGACAATGAGCAGCTGTGTCCAGCATTTCTCTCCAGGGAATATTTGACAACTCAAGTTCAGCATCCCTGGGCTGTTCATGGGCAAACACAATGCAACCATCTTCCTGCTCCAAATCTAAGCACGTCTCCAGGGAATAAAAGGGGTACCAGGCATTTTTGGCTCCACCCTAATAACAACATTCAGTCTCAAGCTGTGCCAGTTGAAATATAGGTTGGATATCAGGAGAAAGTATTTTACAGACAGGGTGATAAAGCACTGGAATGGCTGCGCAGGGAGGTGGTGGAGTCACCATCCCTGGATGTGTTAAAAACAGACTGGATGTGGCACTGGGTGCCAGGGGTTAGCTGAGGTGTTGGGGCTGGGTTGGACTCAATGATCTTGAAGGACTCTTCCAACCCAGTGATCCTGTGAATTCCCTGGCTTTTCAAGGACTGTGGGGACAGAGTATAGATTCTTTCCATGCTGTAGCTCAGGATGGAGCAGGGGGTGCTGAGGATCCCTGGAGCCACCTTGAAGGGCATCCCAGTCAAGGCTGCCTCATCCCAACCTCAGAGATACCTGGAAAACTTCTCTGCCTTAGGAGATCAGCCCTGCTCCCAGAAATTGCTCTGGAGATGCAAACAAACCCAGGGTGAAACCAAACCCCTGGGATGAATCCGAAGGGAAGCACGTGGCCAGGTGGGGCACTCGAGGTGTTTCCATCCCGGGATTCCCCTGGAGCCAGTGGCTTCTCCTGTGATTCATGGGTGACAACTGGAGCCTGACACTGCCCGGCTGCCATTCCCTTCAGGATGTGCTCTGGGATCCAGAAACATTCCTTGTAACCCAGGCTGGAGCCAAATATTCCCTGAGGGCCATTGCAGCCTCTGGGCTTTGGGAAGGCTGAGCTGTTTTGGGATGAGAGGGGAAGTGCAGGGCCAGCCAAGCCACCACTCCCAAAAATACCCACTCCTAAATAGAGCCTGAGCCTCCAAACATTTCTTAATGGAGCCAGTGGTATTCATGGCTGATAAATGAAATTCCCACTCCTCATCCTTCAGCAGGGAAGCAGGACAAGGATGTTTTACCTGTACATCTTCCCCTTCCATATCCTGCAGTGTTTCCTACATTTTGCAGCAACAACCATCCCTGAATTCTATTTAATATCCCATGGAAACCCTGCTCTGGAAAGGTTTCCAAGTCACAAAGTCCAACCTTTGGCTATTGCTAGAAAATATTTGATTTCTTAAACTTGATTTCTGCTTTTTCCCCCTCTTCTCCTATTGCCCATTCACAGGGATTTGAAGTTTTCCTGTGCTATCTATCCAAAAATTATTCCACTTATTTATTGTTTATTCAATAACTTGTTTATTCCGTTTCTTGGGTCCTCTGGGATAATTTTTTTGGTGGGATGCAATGGGCATAAATTTGAATATTTCAGTAGATTCATTCAGTTTTGAGCTGACAGATGAAAGATGGGTTTAAAAAAATCTCAGAGCAAGGACACAACCTCTGGGATATTAGAATGGGAAAGACAAAATTCCTGAAGAACCTGGTTGTTTTTGTGGTTCATTGTGTTTGCTAAAAAGTCTTTGAAGAATAATTGGGTTTGGTTATTAAAATGAATTAATTCAGGCAAAAGGAGCAGGAGAGGCCAAGTGTCACTAAATAAAATTGACTTTTACATAAACTAAAACTCAAACAGAACAAAATGCTCTGGCTTGGATCAGGGGCCTGCAAATATTTCAAGGAATAATGAAATAAATAAAGAAGTTTATTCAAATATTGTGTCATTTAAACTTAGGAAATAATGTCCTTTCATGTGTCTAAACTTTATGCTCCCATGATAGCTGATAAATAACATTTGATTTTTTTTTTTTAAATCTGTGCATTTTAGGCCAGATTTAATGCCCATAAAATTTTTTCAGCAGGGCTGCCTTAATTAGGGAAAGTATTTCAGTACTATTTAAATTACCAATTAAAACCATGAAATTACATTTTGGATTCTTGAAGTTTTCTATAAACTTTAATAGCAATAAAATGTGTATTAAGATAAATGATATTTTTTCCAAGTGCCAAGAAATAAGTGGGGGAATTTTTGTTAAAACCATCAATATTAGATTTATTTAATGGCCAGTTATAACTGACCATTGGTTTTATAGAAATAAAAGTGGATGTCTTCCAAAGAAACCAAATCCTGCAGTGTTTTCCTTCTGATCCATCCCACAGCTCTGTAAAAATAATGACTGGGATTATCAGGGAATTGCTGGAACCTGCAAAACCCACCTGGTTTAATTTCCATCATGTGGCAGCAGCTCTTGAATTTTTCACTCCTGGAATTTTTAATTCCTGAATTTTTAACTCTTGGAAACTGCCAGGAATGCAGCAATTGCACCAGGAGTCACCCTCAGCAATCCTTCCTGCTGCAGAAATTGTTAAAATTATATCCCAAAAATGACAAATTATTTGCCAAAATTAATTACTTAAATAATTACCAAAAAAATTGACAAAAATTAAAATTATTGTTCAAACTATCTGCAAAGATATCCACACCCTGCTGGAAGCCTGAGTGGATAAAGCCACACGTGGAACAGGAGGTACAAAAGCAGCTGAACATTAAAATCAAGTAAAAAAAAAGAATCTCTGGGTTTTTTCACCATAGTTATTTAATATTATGAAACACATCTGTAAACCAAATTAATGTAATATCATTAGAAAATTAATGTAATATCATTAGAAAGCCCTGTTGAGCACAGAGCATGGATTTTAGAGCACAGTTCAGAACTCGAGGATGGGTTCACAAAGTCTGGCCCATCCTTTGGGGCAGTTTTTCCTCCACACTCCTTCCCGGGAGGAAGAGGAAGAGCATTTCAGCTTCTTTAAACTCTGTCAAACCAGCGAGTTTCGTGCTTTGCTAATGGATTTATCTGTGATTTTCTGCTTGCCACCATCAGGCTCTACAGGACGTTCAAGGACAGCAAGTACCTGTACATGCTGATGGAAGCCTGCCTGGGGGGAGAGCTCTGGACAATTCTCAGGGACAGGTGAGCTGGGACTTGTCCTGCACAGTGAGATGTTTTAAATGGCAGAATTCCTGCTAGAAGGGCTGGAAGGGACTTAAATCCCATCCAGTGCCACCCCTGCCATGTCAGGGACACCTTCCACTGTCCCAGGCTGCTCCAAGCCCTGTCCAACCTGGCCTTGGGCACTGCCAGGGATCCAGGGGCAGCCACAGCTGCTCTGGGCACCCCATGGATGGAATATTGGGAGGGAATTGTTCCCAGGGCCTGCCCACCCTCCCAGGGAACAATTCCTTCCCAATATCCCATCCATCCCTGCCCTCTGGCAGTGGAAGCCATTCCCTGTGTCCTGTCCCTCCATCCCTTGTCCCCAGTCCCTCTCCAGCTCTCCTGGAGCCCCTTTAGGCTCTCCCTGGAGCCTTCTCCTCTCCAGGGGAGCACCCCCAGCTCTCCCAGCCTGGCTCCAGCCCTTGGAGCAGCTCCGTGACCTCCTCTGGACTCACTCCAGCAGCTCCAGCTCTTTTTGATGTCACAGTTTTAAAATCACAATTTCTCAGGGCTTTTCCCACCCCTGTGTTTGCAGCCCTCCTTCTCTGAGTGTGAATCTCAGCTTTTAGTTCTGCCACACGGACACTGCTAAATAATATCCATAAATATTTCCTGGGATTTATGGCCCAGCCAGGAGTGAGAGCAAAGAGCAGGAGGAAATCAAGAGCTGTGCAGGATCTGTTGGCCCAGATATCCCATATTACATCAGGGCTGCTGATTCAAGTGGGAATCAGAATCCACACCTTGCCAGGAGCACTGATCCATCGGGATTCAGCAGTGACATGGGAAAAAATGAGTTAGGAAAGCATACATGCCCAAAACCCCACAGTCCCTGCCTTGGGAGGGGTCACCGTGGACTGTTTGGGGTTGCTGGGTGCACGTGGGATGTGCCCACAGAGCAGGAAAAGATGCAGGGAATTGTAACTCTGGAATAGCCTCATCACTGGAACAGAATTACATTACATTTGGAAAGACTGATCAGAAAAATTAAATTGTCTTTTAATTCCCCAGAACAATTTTTTCTCTAGTTCTTCCTTTTCCCAGCCGCCTTTTTCTCACTGAAACAGGAACTTGAGCAAAGTTAGAAGGTGCTGAGTGGGATTTTTCCTGATTTTTTTTTTTTTGTCAGAGCCTGATAATTCCATCTTTAATTCTCCAGGATTTAAACTGAGGTTCTGCTGCCATCTAGCTTAGACACCTTCCTGGTCTCAGCCAGCCCCCAGCAGGAAGGGGGATGTGGTTTTCTTTGGAAAATTTCACAAACAAGGATCCAAAGGTGCAGCTTGGAATTTGCATTAACTCTTCAAGTCCCAGCAGCTTTGATTTTGCTGCCTTTTGTCTCAGTTAGGAACATTAATACAGAACTTATGTGCACACCTCAAAGGAGTTTTAACACTCAAAACCCAAAGTTGTGATTAGAAAAAAATACCTTTTTGCTTACAAGACAAGGATTTCAAAGTTTTATTTCTAAATTATAGAATAAACCTTAAAATAGTTTCAGATACTGGAGGCAAAGAGGCTTCTTGAAAAATGCAAATTTAATTAGATTGAGATATAAAAGTGAGTTTAGCACCGGGAACTTTGCCGGTGTCAAGAAGTGATTTTACTGCAGTGATAAAAGTTTTAACAGCAGAATGAATTCCATGGGGAAGGAAACCACTTCCCAGGGATTAATCTAATGGTTTTATCCCCTTTTCCCTCCCTCCTTCCCACAGGGGTTCATTCGAGGATTCCACCACCAGGTTTTACACGGCGTGCGTAGTGGAAGCCTTTGCCTACTTGCATTCCAAAGGGATCATTTATAGGGACCTCAAGCCAGAGAACCTCATTCTGGATCACCGAGGTTATGCCAAGCTGGTGAGTGCCAAAAAGAATCCCCCCAACTCCCCCACAGGTTTGGGAGAGGGTGAGGAGCAAAGTCCCCCCAACAGGGTCCATCAGGAGATGCTGGGAGGAGATCAGGGCAAGGTGCTGTCATCACCACTGGGATGTTTTCCCAACTTCCAGCAGGGCTCAGGGGATGGCTGAGCTGAGAAATGTTGACTGTGAGTCTCAAACTGCACCAAGGAAAACAGAGGTTGGATATTTATGGGCATTGTCAGTTCAGTCAGAGAGAAAGGAGAGTTTCTGTCAGAACTCAAAATGTCCCTCAGACATTTTTGGAGGTTCCAGGCCCTGGTCAGAAGCATTTGAGACCCTGGCAGGCAGCTGGAAACAGCTGTGATTTTGGATTTGAGCCATGGAATGATTTACCAACTTTGCAGGAAGAACAAGAAGTCACAAAAGTTTAGATATTATAGTAGAAGTAGTTACAAAGTAGAAGGAATTTAGTGTTATACAGGAGGGTTTTAACACCTATACAGGGGGGTTTTTACTTTATACATAGAAGTCAAAAGTTTTAAGATAAAAAAATTTTTAGCCAGTCCTGTCCTTCCTCTTTCTTCTTCCTTACCTCCATGTTTATATTAATATTAACACTTATAAAATTAGTTTAAAATAAAAAACCACCATTTAATACAAATAATAAATATTTTTAAAAACTATAAACATTTATATCATAATATACCATATAAAAAATAACAAGAACCAAAACCAAAAATTAAAAAAGTCAAAAAACAAAAAAAAATGTCGAGTGTGTGTGCCTTTGCCTAAGCTACTAACCAAACCACAATAAACAAAAAAGACAATATTTTAGATAACTTACAATAAACTACCTTAAAACCAAACAACAAAAATCTACTAAGCCTTTTTTTAAAAGCACAAGTTAAAAGAAAAACTTTTCCACCACACAGAACCCCTAAACCAAGCCTAAATTCCCTCAAGTTTCTAACCAAGCTAGAACCTTCTACTGTCCCAGGCTGCTCCAAGCCCCAAAGTCCAACCTGGCCTTGTTATATCATTGTTACTTTCTTTAAAAATGTCACTTCTGCTTTTCAGGAATTTACCAGGTAATTGAGGCAATTTTCTCCTTGCTTTGATGGAATTTACCTCCTTCTATTTCTAGGCTATTACCCCTACAGCCTTGTAGGAAATTCCTTCATTGAACATTGCCAGGGATGCAGGGCACCCTGTGCCAGGGCCTGCCCACCCTCCCAGGGAACAATTCCTCCTGAATATCCCATCCATCCCTGCCCTCTCACAGCTTAAAGCCATTCCTTGCCCATGTTAATTTAAATTTAAAAGAAAAAAAAAAAAGCAAAATAAACCAACTGAGCTGTGAGTGATAGCAAGTTCCGACCCCCAAGAAACCCTTGGTGCTGGTGTTTGCTTCCCTCATGGGAATTTTCCCAAGGATAAATCAGCAAAAAGGTCACTGTGTTTCTCTGGTCCTGGAATGACCCACGATGCTTTAATTAGGAGAAAATTCCCATGAGGAATGCTCCTTTCTGCCTTGCTTCACTTCAAGAGCAGCAGAGCCCACGGCTGACATTCCCTCTGATGCCCTGCCCTGACTCTCTCCTGCCCCTTCCCTCAGGTCGATTTTGGCTTTGCAAAGAAAATAGGATTTGGAAAGAAAACATGGACTTTTTGTGGCACCCCGGAGTACGTAGCCCCCGAGATCATCCTGAACAAAGGTCACGACATTTCGGCAGACTACTGGTCCCTGGGAATCCTGATGTATGAGCTCCTGACTGGCAGGTATGGGCATCGAAATTCATCCCAAGATTTCTGCCCTTCTCACCCTGATGAGGCCAGGGCAGGGGCAGGGCTGGGCCAGGGGACTCCACAGTGGCTTTTCCATTCAAATCATCTTTTTTTTGGCTCTGAGTGGGCTGAACATGATGGGAAAAGAGGAAGAGTTTGGCCCTGAAGGGTCTGGAAATGGTGGGAGAAGGGGAAGGTTTTGGCCCTGAAGGGTCTGGAAATGGTGGGAAAAGGGGAAGGGTTTAGCTCTGAAGGTTCTGGACATGGTGGGAGAAGGGGAAGGTTTTGGCCCTGAAGGTTCTGGAAATGGTGGGAGAAGGGGAAGGTTTTGGCCCTGAAGGGTCTGGAAATGGTGGGAAAAAGGGAAGGGTTTAGCCCTTAAATGGTCTGGAAATGGTGGGAAAAGGGGAAGGGTTTAGCTCTGAAGGGTCTGGAAATGGTGGGAGAAGGGGAAGGGTTTAGCTCTGAAGGTTCTGGAAATGATGGGAAAAGAGGAAGAGTTTGGCCCTGAAGGGTCTGGAAATGGTGGGAAAAGGGGAAGGGTTTAGCCCTGAAAGGTCTGGAAATGGTGGGAAAAGGGGAAGGTTTTGGCCTGAAGGGTCTGGAAATGGTGGGAAAAGGGGAAGGGTTTGGCCCTGAAGGGTCTGGAAATGGTGGGAAAAGGGGAAGGATTTGCACTCAGCTGGGGAGGTTCCTCACTGCTGGAAAGGAGGAGGCAGATCAGGGACCATCCACCCCTTCCCATATTTAATTTGGGATATCCCTGCTGCTTTTGGCTTCCTGGAGCTCCCTCACCTCATCCCCCAGGGCCCAGCCCCAGGAGCTGGGGAAGAATCCATCCCCTGCATTTGCCCACCCTTCACACACAGCCCCCCATAAATAAAAGCCAATCAATCCCCACCACACAAGGATAAGCCAGGGAATGCTGCTCAGAGCCTCCTGCCTTGGGCTGTTGGGATGCAGCTGCCATGGGAAGAAGAGCTTTAGCATGGAAAACTTCTTTTTGGTACTTCCCTGCAGCCAACATCCCTGAATTCCAGAGCTCCTTGAGAAATGGTTAGGATGATGGGAAGCAAAGCATTCCTGGTTGACATCTACCTTGTCTCATCTGGGTGTGTTTTATCAGACTTCAAAACTGTTTTAAAGACCAATTTTTTGTGAAAGACAAGTTTTTAACCTTTTTTTCCCCTCCCTGTGCCCTCTGAAGTCCCCCTTTCTCAGGCCCAGACCCCATGAAGACCTATAACATCATATTAAGGGGAATAGACATGATTGAATTTCCAAAGAAGATTGCCAAAAATGCTGCTAACTTAATTAAAAAACTATGCAGGTAAGTGGATGTAAGAATAAAACCTTGATGATGTTTGCAAAGAAATGAGCTGGGCAGAGTGATTTAGGATTTGCTCTTCCTTTTACAGGGACAATCCATCAGAAAGATTAGGGAACTTGAAAAATGGAGTGAAAGATATCCAAAAGCACAAGTAAGTGTCTTCTCCAGCAGCCATCATCTCCAGTCCCAGAAAGTGGCATTTCAAACACCTCAGTTTTCTCCTAAGAAACACTTCCTATCCATAATGTAAATTCATCCTCCCTTTTGGTCCCATGGGAGGGGTTGCATGATGTCTTAGGAGTTTACTGGGATAAGAACAGGTGAGTGTGAATTGTTCCATTCCAGGAACAATTTCTCTCATCCATCTGTGCTGGAACATCTCTTCTCCCAGCCCCAAAGCAGCAGGAATGGATTGGATGGATATTTTTTTTTAGGAAGGCTCAGGGCTCATCCACCCACCTTGAGCAAACCTGAAGAAAACCACAAGTGGGACATCCTTGAGCATGAAGTTGGGAGTTAACCCAATTCCATAGGAAAAAAGGTCTCCTGTGGGATGGATCCAGCCTCTGGAAGGGAAGGAGCAGCTTCCAGGACACCTGCAGCAAAGACTGGTTCCCATCTGAGTGGTGGCAATTTCTACTTGTGTGCTGTCACCACGGGGTCGCTGTGCACACTTCCTTCTTGGTCCCCAAAAAAGATGTCAGGAAAAATTCCAGAGGGATTTAAAGGCAAAGTCTGTGGGAGATGAAACCTGTTGTTTAAGCAATTTTCTTTTCTTTGTGTGCTACACCTGTCTAACTCTTGTATTCTTCCCCCCCTTCAGATGGTTTGAAGGCTTTAACTGGGAAGGGTTACGGAAAGGGACACTGACGCCTCCCATCATCCCAAGTGTAAGTTTTCCTATCATTATTTTCTCCTCCATGGGCAATTCCTGTGATGCTGTGAGCTCTGGGCAGTGGTACATTGGGTTAAGTGGGAATAATGTGCTTTATTTCTTCTGGAGATGCTTGAAAAAATCACTTCAGCCACATTCCCAGCTAAGCTTCCTCTCCAGACAGGCTCTTCCCTATAAAAGCCAGTGTGAGGAGGGCACAGCCATGGAGAACTCCACTTTGTAGCAGGGTATTGAGGCAGGATCACTCACTCCAGCACATTTTCCCCTCTCTCACCTGCTCCACTTGTTTCTGCATCTCCTTTTCCCATTTCTGTGGAGAGCTGCCCCTTCCACCCCTTGTCTCAGCTGCGTCCTCTTCCCTTCTCCTTTATTCTCATTTCCTTTGGAAAGGCAAGTGGGATTTGGATGCCATCTTCCTTTTCTTTCACATTAACCTTCCCTTCTGTGCTGTCCTTTGTGCCTGTGCCCCTCTTGGCCCTGCATCCATGTCCTCCATGAAAAGCTGTTGATGTTTAACCGGGAGCGGGCTCGGAGGGACAGCCCCGCTCATTTTCCTTTGCAGCAAAGCCCTTCCTTTGATGTCTTTGTGCAGCTCCCTGCCCTCAAAGCCCCGCTGCAAAGGGAAACCAAACAGGATTAGCTGGCAGAAATTACCTCGGCCCCTTCTGTCCTGCAGCCTCCCCTCCTTGTTCCAGCTTAATCCCTCGGGATCACCGGGAGAATGCCATTAATGGGGGTTTAATTGCACCCCATTGCTCCATCCTGCAGCTCCTGCAGCAGGGGCAGGCCCAGCTCTGGGGCTGAATCTGCCATCCCAAAGTTTGCTTAGGGAAAGAGCAGGAGGCTTTCCCAACCTCCCTTTTGTCCTGTGGGATGCGGGAGCTCCTGGAGTCAGTGGGGAAAGCAGGACTTGGCAAATCTCTCCCATAACATCTCACAAATGTTTAAGAGATCAAAGCTGGGTTTGGTTGGTTTTTTTGTTTTTTGTTTTGTTTTTTTTTTCTCTTAAGCTCAAGCTACAATTCTGGGATGGTTTGGGTTGGAAGGAACCTTTGAGCTCACAAGTTCCATCACCTTCTGTGACATTTTCCACTATCTTCCACTTCCACTCTCCCAGGTTGCTCCAAGACCTGTCCAATCTGGCCTTGGCCTATTTTTAATGCTATTCATTCATCAGCAGGATCACATTTCAAGTCAGGCAGTAAAGTCAAGTTTGCTCCTTTACATCCAATTCCTAAAGCAATTCCTTCTTTGGGAATGCAGGATGTCTGTGTAGCCTGAAAAAAAACAAAACCCCAGGATGTCTTCCTAACTGGTTTTGGTGGATTTTTAGTTTAGTAGGAGCATTTCCAATACTGGTGTTACCCCACATAGCAAGGAATAGATGGGAGCATCCTTCCCTCTTCCAGGCTGGCCCTAATCCTGGTTCAACCCAGCTCATCCTTTCCCTGAGCTCTTGGGAGTAGCAGCTCCTCCAGACCTACTCCTGAGATCCTCTCAAAACCCATGAACTGTGAATTTTGTCAGCCCCAGAGCTGTCAATCCTGTTCCAGTTTTTTTTTGCAAAGTCTCAAGAGCCACTCTGAGAAGGGACCCAAAATACAGCTCTGGTGGCAGACATCCATTTCTCCTTCAATCCACCTCTCCTTGTTAGCTGGGAAAGAGCCAGCAGGACCAAACATGCTGATTACTTCCTTTTTCTTTGAAAAAAAAAGGCTTTTCCCAGCTCTTTAACTCTCATTTCTTACGTGGCTCTGCCAGTGAGGCAATCAAAGAGCTCTTATTCCATGGGATTTTTGGAAAGATCCCAATTCACAACCTGCTGCGAGGACACTGCTTAATACCACAGCTGGAATTTGTGATTTTACCTCTCCTGAAAAGCTCAGGACTCTTCCAAAGATGAGCTGAGCAAGCAAAGGGTGAAGGAGCTCCAACAAAGTCATCAGATCCAGATAATCCAAAAACATTAAAACCACTAAGATTGTGTAGGGTAAGACTTTTTTTTCCAAAATAAGTCAGGTATTCCATAATCCTGATTTCCCACAAAGTGTGTTCAGCAGCAGGAAAATGCTGATGCAGTTGGGCATCCACATTAAATGAGGAGCTGGAGTTGGAACTCCTGTCTTTTCCCAAGGCTTGCAGCAGCATCCAACATCAAATGGGAATCTCAGGAGGGTTAACAAGGCCAAGTGGGTTGGGGCAACCCTTGAGATCAATTCAGGCTTGATACTGGGAAAAATATTCCTGGGAGGGTGGGCAGGCCCTGGCACAGGGTGCCCAGAGCAGCTGTGGCTGCCCCTGGATCCCTGGCAGTGCCCAAGCCCAGGCTGGACAGGGCTTGGAGAAACCTGGGACAGTGGGAGGTGTGGCAGAGTGGAACTGGATGGGCTTTAAGGTCCCTTCCCACCCAAACCATTCCAGAATTCTGGGATTTAATGATTGTCAGTTGGCCCCTGGATCAGGCTCTTCCCTAATGAAATTACTAAAAAAAGCAGCAAGCTCTGGGTAAAGCTTAAAGTATTAAATTTCTAGTAAGACTCTAGTTGTTTTGGGCTGAAGAGTTGCTGGTTTCCTCTTGAATTGTTTATTTTTTTTTATTGTCTCGACTTTATCAAGTCCTCACTGTAAGAAAGTTTCCTTCGCTGTCACAAAGCAGGGAAACCATAAATTCTATAGCCAGGGTAGATTTCAAATGTCATGATTTCCAAAAAAAGAAATGAGCTTGGCCTTCCTCCTGAGAAGATGGGTTTCTCTGGAAGGATCCTGAGGTTGAGCAGTGTCAGGAAAGTTCAAGGCAGCAGGGCTCAGCATCCTGGAGCCCTGGATGGGAAATCCTGGGCTCCGAGAAGGCTTTTCCCAAGCCTGTTGTGATAACCTTGTGGCAAGGAGTAGGAAAATTCAGGAGAGCAGGGGAGCTGGGGGAAATCCCTCAGCAAAAAGCTGTGGATTCATCCCCTCCCTGGCTTGCTGGGGATTCTCTGGGATGCCCATGGCTGTGGGATGAAGAGGGAATGGCAGCTCTGGGATGAACACGCCCTTCTTGTCGCTCTCCCGCCCGCAGGTCGCGTCTCCCACGGACACAAGCAACTTCGACAGCTTCCCAGAGGACAGTGACGAGCCACCCCCTGACGACAACTCAGGATGGGACATAGATTTTTAATGTTCTTTCTCTTACCTGCTTCTGCCTTGCTGAGGACAGCTTTTCCTGGGACGTGGCTGCCAGCGGAACGGGAAGACCGGAATCGGGGAGGATTCGTGCTCGGGGTCACCATGATGCCTTGATTGATGCTGCTCCAGTAACTCCAGTGGCATTAGGACTTCTTGCTTAGTGACAGTAGTGCTCTCCATGTTTTCTGTTGGAACGTGACCTGGCGTGGGCACGGTGGTCCTGACACAGAGCCTTGCTCCGGCACAGAACTCCTCTTCTGTGGCCACAGAGATCCTGGCACACTCTTGATTAGCAGAGTCAGAGATCCGTAGGGTAAGAGGCACTTAATTCCAGCTGCTTTTTCCGTAGGATCAGTAGTAATTTATGAAGTGCTGCAGCTACTCCAGTGCAGGATTTGGGCTATTCCCACCCTCCGAGCTCCGCAGGGCAGCGCTGGAGCCCAGGAGGAGCACGGGCAAAGCGCTCCCATCCGAGCAGTGGGGAATGTGTCCTTTTCCTTTCCCAGCAGTATTCCCGACGAGACTGAATGTGCCCTTTCCTCTTTGTTTTGGAAACATTTTGGCTCAGCCTGGTCAAACAAAAGCACAACTGCTGCAGATGCTGTCGAGGCAGAGTTGGGTCGTTCCCCTCACGTGGCAGCACCACCTTTGGGCTTCAGTTCTCCTTTCCCTTGGTACCAACACACGCACGGAAAGAGAAAATCATGGAATGAATCCACTGCACATCTACTGCTCCATTGTACATCTACTGATCCATCGTAATCTGTTGATCCATTGCACATCCATTGATCCATTTCACATCTGTTGATCCATTTCACAGTGCTCCAATCACGGTCCTGAACAAGGCAACAGCAGCCCACCCGTCTGATTAGGTATAAAATTAAGGATAATTTGGAACTTTTTAGGCCCAAAGGGAAAAACATGAGACCTGTGATGTCCTCTCGAGGTGCTACATCCATCCCTCACCTGGGAAGGAACCTGTCCCTGACCCATCCTGTCAGGAATATGTAGCAGAGGCTCCGTTCTCCCCGTTGATGATTCCATGTCTCCGTGTCTGCATCTCTTCCGTGTTTAAACAGAAACCCTGGGCCAGTCTGCTGGCTCTGCTGGAACATTGCCAGTAGTCCTGATGCCCCTCCAGGCTAAGGAGCTCCACAGGAAAGTCAGTGGAATTCAATGGGAAATGGATATTGGAAGATCCCCATGAGGTCTCCAGCGTGCCAGATCCACGTGACTGTGTTTAACACAGGGATGGCCAAATCCATATGGAAAAAAGAACTAGGGAAAACAATATTGTCAGGACATGCTTTTCCCTCCCTTCTACTGCTTTTCCTTTGCTTGTATTCCCTCTTCTGGTTTATGGGATGCAGCAGAGGGATCCTGTCCTGGGTGCCTATTTGTTACATATACACGGGATTGAAAGTTTATCCCATTATCCAACAGGAAACATCAGCTTTTGGTCTCTCTGAGAGACCTCACCCCAAAAAAGTCACAGAATCATGGAATGATGGAATGGTTTGGGTTGGAAGGGACCTTAAAGGTCCTCTCATTCCAGCCCTTGCTGTGGGTGAGCAGGTGCTGCCTCCTTTCAACCTCAGCCAAGAGCTGATCATGGAAAGGCCAAGTCTTGCTGACAAGGACTTTTCCCACATATGACATGGAAAAGGTCTGTTTGAGCAGTAAAAAATTCCTTCCCTGATGCTAAGTCCCAACTCTTTTGCATGTTTTCCATTAAAGGATGTAATCAAAAGAGTATTTTGACAGCATGGGCCGTGTCTGCTGTTCACCACGAGCTGGGTCGCGTGACCCCTTTGAAACCAGTCTGTGGCTCTGGAATTCCCTCTGTTTTCCAAAGGGTGAGGCCACACCTCTGGCACAGTCACTTCTGCTGTTCTTTAACCATTAAAACTTCATTTGTCTTCAAAATCACAGGGAAAAGGCAGCACCCGCTGGCTTTTCCACCTCTCTCCAAGGGATGGACAGCACTGAGGGCCAAGGCTGAGCACGAGGGCTAAAACATTCACCAGGCATCTTAAACAGGCCTGACAGCCAAATGCTTCCCTCACACCCCCTGGATTTTCACTCCATGGGGACAGCTTTCTGTAGGAGTTTGTCCCAGGATGGTGACACCTGATGCAATTGGCAGGCAAGGAAAACAAAGCACCACAAAGATTTGGGGATCAAGCTGAAAACGTGACAGGAAGGAGGGTCTGGAATGGGCTGAGCTGTTGGGTTTCTTTTTCCTGTCCCTTTTTTCCCTCATGCCAGGCATGGGAATTGACACCTGCAGCGTGCACTGTGCTGAATCTGAGTTTCTTTTGATATCAAACACCTCACTCGACTTCCATGGCCTCTCCTGAGCATTAACACTTTGCATATGTATATGATAAGCCTTCAGTTATAATAATATATTTAAGTTGCTTTATATATATCTCTATATATCCACAACAAGGGATTGCCTCTGTGTTTCCACCTCCTGTCCTTATTTCTTTGTCTCCTTTCCTGATCTATGGGACGACAGCGTTTTTAGGGAAGGGGGAATCGGCTCCCGTGCTTCCAGAGGGGGCTTTGATTGGTGGTGTGGCTTCTCCTGGAGCTGCATTGCCTACAGCAAACTCTTCTTCAACAACAGGACCACGAGCAGATATTTCTGTAAATAGGTATTTTCGTGTCGATGTTTTGTGGGTCACACAGAACTTTCTGTTCTTTTCCAGTTCCATGGCATTATTCCTTCATTTCCTTATTTGTAATGTAATGTTTTTAGGTCGAGGTAGACTTGAATTAATGTCATATTTGTCAGTATGATTAAAGTTTCTGTCAGCTGTCCTGTTCACCCACCTGTCCCATAGTTCTAGAACGTCACTGGCTATCTGGCATTGTTGCAAGTGCCTTAAATCCATGGCATCTTATTTAAAAAAAAAAAAAAAGACAAATTTGGTGTTATGCTGCATGACAAAGACAAACACACCTCAAACCGTCGTCCTTTCTTAGCTTGCTGCGTTTTACAGTTCTTTCTGCTACCGATTTCTAAGCCTTTATTATCTGATCTTGATGAATTACAGAAATGATGACGTCGTTCTCTGATTTCTGTTCAATGTACCAGAGCTGTGTATCTGTTAATGAGATACAGAGTCATTTCTGTGAAATGTATAAATGTGATGTGCGGGTCAAATTAATCTCTGACATCCTAGCAGTCCGTAGACAGGTATTCCTGTTTTGCTAAGCTCTGCAGATCCCACCCATCCGTGCTGTCCCACACACAGCCCCCCTCGGGAATCTCCCACCTGGGAAAAATCCACCCCGCCGGCGTTTTCCTGACCTAAAACCCCGGTGCAAAGACCAGGCTCATTTGCACCACTCAACCAAACAGGAATTGTGCTTTTCCCTGCCCCTTTCCCTGCATCCATGGGGATGAGCCCTGGAAACTCCTCCTCGGCTCCCCAGCCCTGACAACGAGACTTGGGCGCTTTTAGGGCTTTCTCAGAAAAAGGGGAAATTCCCATTTGGAGTTGCCTCTCCCCCCTTGAGTCCCGATTTACGCTTGTTTTACCCCAGCCCTTTGTTTTATACTCTGATTTTCTCTCCTTCCATGGCAGAGGTTTTGTTTGTCAGGCCGATGTCGGTCACTCCCCGGCCATCGGCCGCTTGCACTCTTTGGATGTTGACTGAGGAACTTTGGGGTTTTTTTTCATAAACTTCCATGGCTTTTGTTTCGCTCTGTACTCCCCCTGCAGCTGTAATTGCCGAGTGCCTGTTGTATACTTTATAGAGTTGAAATAAAAATAATTACTTTTGAATGGCTGTCGGTGGGTTTCTTCCAGAGCAGGAGCTGAGTTTGGGAGAGATCTTCTGGATGATGGAAACATCCAGAAATGTGGGGTAACAGGGTGAAATCTGGGGGTTCTGCTCCCAGAACTGGTTGCTCAGAGCAGCTGTGGCTGCCCCTGGATCCCTGGCAGTGCCCAAGGCCAGGCTGGACAGGGCTTGGAGCATCCTGGGGGAGTAGAAAGTGTCCCTACCCATGGCAGAGGTGGCACTGGATGGGCTTTAAGATCCCTTCCAGCTCAAAATCTTTCCATAATTTGATGATGACACAGAGGTGAGCAAAAGCTGGGAGAAAGTAGCAACAAAACATCCTCTCAGGAGGGAAATAAATGTGGTAACAGCCCAAGGAGGAGCTGGGAATCCTCACCAATCATTTTGCGGGATGCAGCAATCGCAAGTCGAAGTTAATAATGCAATAAAAACCTCAGGGTGACGTGGCCCTCACCTGAAACTGCCAGGGGAACACCGAGATTTCGGGGCGAGGCGTGGCGCTCATTATTCCAGACTAAAAATAGGGAAGGCAGGAGGGGTGTTGGGGATGTCGCCCGGCCGTGACTCAGCCCGCCGTGCTCCCGAAACCCTCCCGGGCAATTATTAGCCCGGCTTGATCCATTCGGGGGCTGAACAGCTGATATGGATACCGGGACAGCGATACCGGGAGAGGGGGGGGCGTTAATTGCAGGAATTGCAGCGTCCGGAATCCCCCACCCCGGGGATTTTGATTCTGCTCCGGCTCTTCGTATTTTTATTGAAACCAAGCTGCGAAAAGAAATAAACGGGAGCACGGGGCCGCCGAAGAGGAAAAGCCGGGTTAATTAACGGGGGTTAATTAACGAGAGTTAATTACGGGAGGGGGAGTGGGGGGCGCGATGGCGCGGCGCGGCCGCCAGGGGGCGCCTTGGGGCCGCTCTGCCCCATGGGGGCGGCGGGGAGGGAATGGGGGAAAGGGCAGGAAAAAGGGAATGGGGAAAAGGGCAGGAAAAAGGGAATGGGGAAAAGGGCAGGAAAAAGGGGAATGGGGGAATGGGCAGGAAAAAAGGGAATGGTGGAATGGAGGGAATGGGGGAATAGAGGGAATGGAGGGAATGGAGGAATAGAGGGAATGAGGGGAATGGAGGGAATAGGGGGAATGTGCAGGGAAAAAGGGAATGGGGGAATGGGGGGAATGGGCAAGAAAAAAGGGAATTGGGAAAGGAGGGGGGGGGGGGCGACGCCTTTGATCTCCCCGCATCAAAGGGCCCGGAGCTCCCCCCCACCGACGCTGCCCCCCCGGCCCGGCTGGGGTCAGGGGAGTAGGGGGAGGACACCGAGAGTCCCGTCGTGTGTCCCCCCCTTCCCCCGTGTCCCCGCACACCGCCCGGCGCGGGGGGATGCGGAGCAGCCCCTCTCCTTTCCTGCAAGGCTGCGCTGGCGCCAGGAAGGACGCGGGGGAGGCGGCGGGGGGGGAGACTTAGAGGAGACCAAAGGACCGACTTTGCCATCGGGGGAGGGCGGAGGGGGCTCTCTGCACCCACAGAGGCTCCCACCCACTATGGGGGCTTGCACAAGGGGGAGTGTCCCCCCCGTCCCTCTTCCCGGTCCCCTCCGTCGGGCGCGCCCGGCTGGAGACAGCGGCGGCGTCGGGGAGTGCGGAGCATCTGGCCGGGAACCGGGGCGGGGGATGCCGGGGGAGGGATGCTGGGTGTGGGGTGGGGGGGGGTCTGCCCTCGCCCTTGCGAAACCCCCTCCCGACCAATGTGGGAGCCCTCGGGGCGGGGTGGGGGCGGTTTTGGGGGCTCACGGGCACAGCCCCCCCTGGGAAGGCTTTGAAATCCCAGGCGGCGGGCCCCCCGCCCCGAGGGGGCGGGCAGGAGGCAGCCCCGGGGGTATAAAGGCGGCGGAGGAGCGCAGGAGCCGCTGCTGGCGGCTCGGAGCTGCTGCTCGGGGACTCTGCGGGCACGGGAGGGCACGGGAGGCACCAGGATGCGGGGGCTGGTGGCGCTGCTGGCGGCGCTGAGCTGCGCGGCCCCGGCGGGGCGGGCGGCGGCTCCCGGGGGTGCCCTCAGCTCCAACGCCATCAAGGGACCCCCCCCGGGCGGGGCGGCCGAGGCCAGCGCCGCCCCCGCACCCCCTTTCGACGGCAGCAACAAGGCCCCGCCGGCCGCCACCCGACAGGTAGGAGAGAGCGCGGATGGAGCGGCGGGACAGCGGGATGGAGGGGGACACACGCCGGGGATGGAGGGGGACACACGCCGGGGATGGAGGGACACACACCGGGGATGGAGTTGAGGGACACATTTGGGATGAAGGGTGGCACGTCGGGGATGAGGACACCCACACCGGGAGTTGGAGGAGGGGACACCTGCCATGGAAGGGATAGAAGAGAGGGGACACAGCGCGGGTGGGTGGAGGGGGTGCCCAGAGGATGGAGGGACACTCGGGGATGGAGAGGGGGACACCGGCGACGGAGGAGAGGGACGCAGCGGGTGATGGGGACACAGACACAGCGGATGGAGTGGGGGCACCTCGGGGATGGAGGGGACACCGGGGACGGGGGTGTAGGCGGGGAGGGACGCACGGGGGATGGATGGAGAGGGGGGACACTCGGGGATGGCATCATCGGCCCCGCTGATCCCCCCGCCTCCTCTGTGCCCCCCAGCCTTTCCCGTGCGCCGAGGACGAGGACTGCGGCCCCGAGGAGTTCTGCGGAGCCCGCGGCGGGGGAGCCCCGCTGTGCCTCGGCTGCCGGCGGCGCCGCAAGCGCTGCCTGCGCGATGCCATGTGCTGCCCCGGCACGACCTGCAGCAACGGTGAGGCCAGGGGACAGGCGGGGCTGGGGGCCGCGGGACGGGCCGGGGTCCCACGCGTGGCTGACAGCCGCCCCGCTGCCCCCGCAGGTCTCTGCACGCCCCTGGAGCCGCCCCACGGAGCGGCCGAGCTGGACGAGACCGGCCCTGAGGCGCTGCCCCGACGGACGCCCGCTCCCGCCTGGCTCCCCACTGCCAAAGGTGAGGCTGCTGTCACCTCGCTGTCCCGCCTGAGGCTGCCATCCTTCCCTGCCGTCCCCTGGCCACCAGTCCGGGCTGTCCCCCTGCCTTGAGATCTGTCCGGGATGCCCATCCTTCCCTGCTGTCCCCTGTGGGATCACTCGGGATGCCCATCCTGCATCTCTGTCCCCCGTGGGATCACTCGGGATACCCATCTTGCATCCCAGTTCCCCGTGGGATCACTCGGGATACCCATCCTACATCCCAGTTCCCCGTAGGATCACTCGGGATACGCACTCTGTCTCGGTGTCCCGCACGGGATCAGTCCAGGGTGCTCTTTCTGCTGCACCATCCCTCATGGCTTCGCTCCGGGATTCCTCCCTTCCCTGCTGTCCCCTTTGGGATCGCTCTGGGATTCCTCTTTTCTCTGCTGCCCGCTTTGGCATCACTCCGGGATGCCTCCTTTCCCTGTTTCCCCCTTTGGCATCACTCCGGGATGCCTCCTTTCTCTGCTGTCCCCTTTGGGATCGCTGTGGGATGCCTCCCTTTCCCTGCTGCCCCCTTTGGGATCGCTCTGGGATTCCTCCTTTCCCTGTTGCCCCCTTTGGCATCGCTCCGGGATGCCTCCTTTCCCTGTTTCCCCCTTTGGCATTACTCCGGGATGCCTCCTTTCTCTTCTGTCCCCTTTGGGATCGCTGTGAGATGCCTCCTTTCCTTGCTGTCCCCTTTGGGATCTCTGTGGGATGCCTCCTTTCTCTTCTGTCCCCTTTGGGATTGCTGTGGGATGCCTCCTTTCCCTGTTTCCCCCTTTGGGATGGCTTTGGGATGCCTCCTTTCCCTGTTTCCCCCTTTGGGATGGCTTTGGGATGCCTCCTTTCCCTGTTTCCCCCTTTGGGATGGCTCTGGGATGCCTCCTTTCCTTGTTTCCCCCTTTGGCATCGCTCCGTGATGCCTCCTTTCCCTGCTGCCCCCTTTGGCATCACTCCGGGATGCATCCTTTCCCTCCTCTCCCCTGTGGGATCACTCCGGGATGCCCCCCAGCCCCTCTATCACCAGCAGACAAACCCGGGATGCCCACCCCACCCTGTGTCCCCCCTCCTCCCGGCTGAGCATCCCTCCCGCTGTCCCCCCGCAGGCGAGGAAGGCGACTTCTGCCTGCGCTCCTCGGACTGCGCGGCCGGGCTGTGCTGCGCCCGCCACTTCTGGTCCAAGATCTGCAAGCCGGTGCTGCGGGAGGGGCAGGTGTGTACCCGGCACCGGCGGAAAGGCACGCACGGCCTGGAGATCTTCCAGCGCTGCCCGTGCAGCGAGGGGCTGGCGTGCCGCCCGCAGCGAGAGCCCGGCCCCGCCGACGCGTCCCGCCTGCACACCTGCCAGCCGCACTGAGCCACACCGGACCGACACACGGACCGACACACGGACACACACACGGACGCCACAGGCTCCGGCCCCGCCGGAGCGAAGGTTGTTCCTCAAGGGAACTTCTCCTCAGCGACTTCTTGCAGTACGTTACTGTGTTGTGAATACTCCAGCTGGCACTTAGCTGTACATAACGCCGGGACTTTGAATGACTTCTAACGAGTTTTTAATGATTTTTCTTTTTGTTTTGGTTCAAACCGTGACTGTGACTTTGTACACACTGGGTTTTGTCTTTTTTCTTTTTTTTTTTTTTTTTATTCTGGCTCGGAGGGATGCCGCCGACTGCGTGCGAGCGAATAAAACTTTAAATTCACCCCGCGTCCCTGCCCGTGGGCGGGGGGATTCATCCCCAGCATCCCATGGGAAAGGCTGCTGGCTTGGCACTGTCGGCATTGTTTTTTTAGGGATGCCGTGGTCGCCATTCTGCTGCTTTTTAGGAATTCCGTGGTCGCCACCGATGCCCTCTGGGCACCAAAGCGAGGAGAGGCAGCGCGGTCGGGGCTCTGGATGAGCAGAATCGCTCTCCTTGGTTTTGGGAGGGAGGAGGGAGTGAGGGATCACCGGAGGGGCTGTGCTGGACCAACCACGGGTGCTGCCGATCTCAACCGCTCACTCCTTGCTCCATGCAGAATAAAGATTTATTTTTCCCCCGTCATTTTGCGGCTTGTTCCTGCGGCTCTTCGGCTTTTTGGGATGGCTTGGAGGGAGGGAAAGCTGCGAGCACACATTTTTCCCCCACCTTTTTGGCTGCCCCCCCTGTTTTAAGTGGGGCTGCTGGGCTGCAGGTGCACCCCTGCAAACTGAGGAATGGGTTTGGGGTGCAAAATCACGGTGGAGCCTTCCCTGTACACCCCAAAAATGCTTGCACCCCAGCCCAAACCCAGCTCTGAGGGCACCGTGTGGGGGAGCATCCCTTAAATGCTGCCTGCTCCTGGGTGTTTGGTGCCTTTGGGGTTGGTGCTGCCTCTTTAGGGCATCAAATTCCCTGAGAACACGGGATTGTGGAGCAGCAGCCCCACTGCAGCTCTGGCAGTGCTGGGTGGTGCTGAACCAAGGCCACGGGCACAGGAAATGTAAAAGAGGGAGAACAGCCCCAGGGAGAGGCAGGGGATTGGGGTTAGGATCATTCCCAGCTTCCTTCCAGCTCTGGAACTGGGTGAGAACAGCCAAAACTCCCCAGACTGGAGGGTAAAACACTGATGGTCCTTAAAGCACCTAAACACACCCTTTAAATCTCTCTGGAGCAGCTTTTAATAGAGTCACAGCACGAGCTGGGGGTTGAAGCAGCCCCTGAAAGAGTTCCTGACTCAGAGGCTGGAGTTTAGTGCTTGAATCGTCATTCCAGGCTGTGAAAATTAAAACAAAAACAAAAAAAAACAAAACCAAAACACACCAAAACAACAGTTTTAACTACTTTAAAAATTCAAACTTAAAAAAAATAAAAAACATTGTGCAACATACATAATAATATAATTATTTTATTATCATAATAATGTTATGCCCGCCAAGAATCAGTGGCACTGGGGCAATGAAGGGACCTGGCTATGAAAAAGTGAAGGGATCTGGCTAAGGAAAGCACCAGGAACTGTTCAGATGGGTTCAAATCTGTCATGAACAGTGTCATATTTTATCCCTAGGACATTTAAACCACTGTCACTAGGGTCAGGGCTTTTTCTCCAGAGAGTGAGAGGGACCAGCAGAGCTTTGACACCTCTGCAAGCAGGGCAAAATACCCTTATGGGGCATTAACCACCATTTCTTGATCTCTTTGGTACATCTTTGTCCTCCACACTCTGTTTTGTTCAGTTTGGCCATCTCCACACCTGTCCTTGCCTTAACCAAAAATGCTTCTTGTGCATTCTTCACTTTCCCAGCCTGGAGAAGGAAAAAAGAGCATTTTTAGCAGCCATTGTGAGGCAAGAGGAGCTCAGGTCAGCACTGGTTACATCTGCGTCCTGTGGTCTGTGCCCAGCAGGATGGATGCTACCACAGACATCTCCAGAATAATTAATTTCATTGATAGATTCCACAAAAACAATGGTTTTGATGGTTTTGAATCCTTTCTTCTCTTACCACATCTGCAGTCAGGATCTCTTCCCATTTCTGCCCCTTTTGGACTTGCAGGGTTTGTTCTTTAGGTAAATCCAAGAAGCTGGATTTAGAAATTTGAAATTTGATTTAGTAACATCCCTTAGGAAAAAAAATAATGAGAATATCACCCTGTGTCTGTTAAGATTAAACAAAAACTGTTATTGAAGGGAGGGGTTTTCAGTCTTCCCTTGGCCCTGAGCATCGTTCTGTCCCCAAAACCTGAACCCACTCGAGGTCTGCATCATCCTGGGAAGTCAAAACACTCCTCCAGCAGCTGAGGAATGGGGACAAACAGCCCCTGAGCCCTGGAAAATGGTCACAGGGAGGCAGAAACAAAGGCTGCTCGTGTCCCCTTTCCCAGGGGAAGGGCACTGGGAGGTGGGTGGGAGGCATTCCCTGAGGAATGGGCAGGTGGCATCACCGTGGTCCCTCCTGGATCCTTCCCCACAGTGATTCTCCTTATCAGAAATGCCTGAATGAATTCCTTCCAAGCCTCAAACCAACCCAACAACAACAACAAAAGGCCTGTGGGAAGTAGAAAATATAAAACTTGGGGAAAAAATGGAATGTGTGGAGCCTCTGAGTCTGGACTGGTCGGTGTGTCCAGTCTGGATCTCCTGCTGTGATCCAGAGGGAAAATAAGGAGAAACCCCAGCCCTCAGCTCCTGACACACAAACCAGTGACCCCAGCTGGGAAAGGCACCTCAGGATGCACTTCCCCACCATTCTCCTCCTCTCCAGGGGAATTTTTCCCTCCAAAAACTCAGGAAAACTCCAGCAAGAGGAGAGTCAATGAAAGAAGCAGGTTTTGGTGGATCAAGAGCTTTAGCACCTCTGGTGTACTCACTGCTCCTGCTTTTAGGGCTGGAAGAGCTTCAGCAAAGCTCTGTGAAGTTCAATATTAATATTTTTAAACACGGAAATCTGTAAAGCAGCTTCATGATCCTGGCTGAGCCCAACCTCTCTGCCCCCAGGCTTGCTGGGACCAAAATTGTCATTCCCTCAACGCTCCTGCTCAACCCCAGCTCTGTCCCAGAGCATTTATGGGTTTTTCAGAGGAGTTTTATTCATTCAGATGATTTTCCCCTGTCAAGGCAAGGCATTATTATAACAACCTCTGCTGGAAAGGGACACCTTCCACCATCCCAGGCTGCTCCAAGCCCTGTCCAACCTGGCCTTGGGCACTGCCAGGGATCCAGGGGCAGCCACAGCTGCTCTGGGCACCCTGTTCCAGGGCCTGCCCACCCTGCCAGGGAACAATTCCTAATTCCCAATATCCCATCCAGCCCTGCCAGCTGTCACTTTGAAGTCATTCCCACTTGTGCTGTCCCTCCAAAGTTCCTCTCCAGCTCTCCTGGAGCCCTTTTAGATGCCAGGACAGGCTCTGGGGTCTTTCAGCCCTTTCTGGACTCTTCTTCTTCACCTCTCAGCTAAAAATACTAAAGCAATACCCCAGCCCCAGGATTCCATGGCTGCATAAACACGGCTGGTTTGAAGGGAAAATTGAATCCCTCCATGGTTTTCCTGTGCTGTGGATGCAGATTCCATGGAGGTGGATCACCAGAAATCCCCTCTCTGCTGCACTCGGGGACAGCCGTGGCACAAAGGAATTAAACTCCCAAGGAGGGAGGATGGGACACGGCGCAGTTTTTGCTGTCATTTTGGGGAGATTTCAGGGAAGCAAATGCTGTTTTCTTCCTAAGTTCTATCAGGAATCACTTCTACCCCAAACTGTTGCACAGAAACTCCCTTTTTATTTTTTAATAATTGTTTAAAGCCGATGCTCACACCCTCCTATCTTCCACTGATCTTCACGGGGCATTTCAAACTAAACGCCCCTAAAAAACACAAGAAAGGGTTACAAAACCCCTTAAACCTACCCCCAGGCATTAAAAGGGAAAAATCCCTGTTGTTTTTATCCTCACCTCTCCTGACACAGAGCAGAATTCTTCCCCTTTGGGCTCGGGAAGATGAAACACAGGCAGCAGGTGGAAACCTTTGTGGCTTAACGCAGCACGCAAAGCTTTGGGCTGGTTTTGGGGTTTGTTTTCCCGTTTATTTGGGGCCGGCTTTTTCTGGGAGGAGGGGATGGGGGGAAATTCACCCACCTGCTGGAGCTGCTCTTTGTCCCGAGCCTTTCAACTGCGGGCTCGGCCGAGCAAACCTTGATCTCCCTCGGGAGGGGAAGCGGAGCATCCAGGTGGTCCAGGTGGAAGGGTGTGGGTTCCCCATGCCCCGCGCTCCTTCAAACCGCTAATCTAAAGGGATGTTTATTCCTTTTTTTCTTCTTTTTATTTTTTTTCCCCCTCCCTCAGTGCCTGACTTGTGTCCCTAATTAACACCTTAAGAGGGGGTGAGGATAACCGGGATATTAAGGAGGGCACTTGTGGGCAGAGCTTCTAATCCAGCCCCGGCGGAGGGAGGGGACCCATTAGCAGGTGATTTTAGGGAGAATTAAGAGCATCAGCATTTAAATGGGCACGGCCTGATGAAAGGCTTGGCTGGGCTGAGAGGGAGCTTTAAGCTCCGGTAGGGTTTTCCCCCAAATCCCAAAGGTGTGGGGTGAGGAAAGGGCAGCAGTTGTAGGGGAATAGATGGATGTTATGGGGTGGGTAAAGGGCAGCAGTTGTAGGGGAATGGGTGGATGTTATGGGGTGGGTAAAGGGAAGCAGTTGTAGGGGAATGGGTGTATGTTATGGGGTGGGTAAAGGGAAGCAGTTGTAGGGGAATAGATGGATGTTATGGGGTGAGGAAAGGGCAGCAGTTGTAGGGGAATAGATGGATGTTATGGGGTGAGGAAAGGGCAGCAGCTGTAGGGGAATGGGTGTATGTTATGGGGTGGGTAAAGGGAAGCAGTTGTAGGGGAGTTGGATGGATGGTATGGGATGGGCAAAGAGCTCGCGTGGGTTTTCCATGAGGAAGTGGTGCTGTGCCAGCCCGGAAGGGGTTTGAGGATGGCACAAGGAGGTGGGCACAGCAAAGGGGTGAAGCTGTGGCAAAATCTCCAAAGTATTCTTTTTTTTTTTTTTCTTGTATAATTGGGAGCAAGCCATAACATTTTTTGCATAATTGGGAACGAAGGGTTGTTGCTGCAGTGGAAGGAGGGAATGATAGATCCTCCTAGGATGGCCGCTGGCATTTGGTCTTTGCAGCTTTAACCACCTTTTATTTTACTTTTTAATATTAAATCCATAGGTGACACAAAGGCAGCATAGATAAATCTTGGGGGGGAAAAGTAACCATGAAGTTGTTAAGGCTGGAAAAACCTCTAAGAGCACCCAGTCCATTCAAAATCCCCGTTGGCAAAATTGCAACTCAGGAAATACTGCAACTCCAGAAGCATGGAGCTGTGGAAAACACGGGATGAGGAGGTGGGAGTGCATTCCCAGGAAAATTTGGCAGCTCCCAGGTGCCAAAGGGAGGGCAGGAGAGGTCTGGAAGGCTGTAAACAATGCTCAGGACACGACTGAGGGTTATTTTTGTCCTTCCCAATGCAAGGAGGAGCTGGAGTGCCCAGCTCAGGACAAACCCAGCTTGGGCAGCTGGGGGCCACAAATAAATCTC